GCATCGCGATGCGCTGCAAGTATGATATACATGTATCTAGCGCAGAACAGCGACTATGAGCATATGTCTGGAGTCCCAGCTGAAGAAGAAGTGGCCACCTCAGCGGTGGCGGTCCAGGGAAGAAGCGCAAGAGGTCAATCACCCTTGAAAGCACCAAAAACCGTGAGATCCCTGTCACAGTCCCAGGCCTAGCCGCTGCTCCTAGAAGCAGCACCGCAGGATGGCTTCCTAGCAAGGGAAAGGTCCCAAGGCGCGACATCAAGTAAAGCTGAGTCATCTTCCTCAGCACACTCAGGGGCGAAAGCGACCCCTGCCCCAAGCCGGGGTGAAAACCTCAAGGAGCAGACGAGTGATCACGGCTTCCAAACCACAGTCAACTGCGCTGGAAAAATGGCTAGTTCCGATGGTCTGTTCACTGGTGAACGGTGCGGTGCACGTTATAGCTTGGCAAGCAGAGAACGCAAAAATCGCGTTTCTCTCACAGATGATAGAGGAACCGGTCACACCTCAGACAACACTCACACCTGCCAGACAGATCTTCAATGACCGTTTCCCACTCCGTATGGTGCCCGACATGGCAATGCCCCGCCTGTACCAAGAACAAACCAACAGAACCTGCAAGGTGTTTGTCCCGGTACTGGAAGCTAGTATCGCAGCAGACAAGTTGGAAGCCCTCCTACTGGAGGGCCTGAGGACGATCCCGATCTCAGTCTTCATCGAGGAGGACATTGAATCCCTACAGCAAATTTGGGTACAGAACATATCTGATGCGAACTTTCTTGCCAAGATCAACGAAAAGCTGCCCCGGAACAAGTTGCTGCAATCGCTTTATCTGAAGAACACAGTAGCCCAGAAATGGACTTCCTCCGCAGCAACTGCCCCCCCCACCAGGAACGCTAGCGAACCACCTGCAAGCAGCTCCCAGGGACACACCGGCCAGCCTCCCATCCAATCCAGGAGTCAAGTGGCCCGAATGAATGCATAGGTTGAATATAGGTTCCTGGAACCTCCGGGGAATAGGAGACACCTCTAGGAGAAGTAAACGCGCCCGCCTCAAATCTTGGTTACATAGCCAGAAGATCCAAATAGCATGCATCCAAGAAACAAAGTTAGATGAAAAAAAGATTGCAGATTTAGGCAACTGGTGGGACGGTCCCMAACTCTGGTCCCCAGCGATGGGGACCAGAGGYGGGGTAGGTATCCTACTGCACCGAGACCTTCCGATTCAGATATTGGACCAAGCAGCAGACCTGTGGGGCCGCTGGGCATGGGTCAAATTTGCAGCCTTTGGCTCTGACTGGGCCTTAATGACAGTTTATGCACCTGTGGACAGATCCGAAAGRAACAAATTCTTCCAAGACCTGATCTCCTGCACCCCAGACGTAGACAATCTGTTGGTAGCGGGGGACTGGAATTGCTCACTCGACGATCTGACGAACACACGTGGAGTTACGCCCGATATCCTGTCACTGGTAGACTACATGACTGAATTGGAACTGTGTGATGCGTTCAGGTTTATGCACCCCTCAGAACAGGGCTTCACGTGGGGATCCCAAGCCTCGGAAGGGAACAGCGCAGGCTGTCTCAGGAGACTCGATTTCGGCCTTCTTAGCCCGGTATGGTGGGATGCCCTCACCAACTGTGAAGTGGCAAGACACCCAATGTCCGATCATTACCCGATTAAGATGTCGTTTAGCCTCCTAGACACAGCAGATAGGGGGAGGGGATTCTTCAGACTGAATGTGCAGAACTGTAAAGACCCAGGCCTCTCGGCCTGGGTACATGAATTCTTTAGCCGCTGGCCCAGAGCCCAACAGTTTTTCCAGTCTGCGGGGGACTGGTGGGACGCTGGCACGGAAATAGCAGCCAACTTCCCTAGTATATTTTCACGCATCATGGCAGCTGTTCGAAACAAGGAAGAAGCGGAACTGATAAGAGATCTGCAATGGGTGGAGGACCGCATGCACCTCCACCCCATATCCGCAACAGTTTGGGCGTCGGAAAGGACCAAGATTCTGGCCAAATGGGATGAGATCCAACAGAGGAAATCAGAGGAATGGGCTGAGAGGCTCACAATAAAGGGCATTTCTGTGTATGACCGAATGACAAAAGAGTCGTTCCAAAGACTCCTGCCGAAACGGGCAACTCAGTCAATGAAGCTCCTCAACCACCCCTTTGCGCCGGAAGCGAGGATAGCTGCTACCTCAGATTCAATGTGCGCCTACGCAGTGTTGTACTTCAAAGATATTCTTACCTCCCGTAGACCAGGGGAAGACCCGGGAACA